GGTTGGAGGAATTAAAGACAAAGTCCTGGCAGCACACCGAGCTGGACTGAAGAGAATTATCATTCCTCGAAGAAATGAAAAGGATCTTGAAGAAATTGCAGTGAATGTACGGCAAGATTTGACTTTTGTTATGGCGAGCTGTCTCGATGAAGTGCTTAATGCAGCTTTTGATGGAGGATTTGCAGTTAAGCCCAGAGTTGAGCATTTGAATAGTAAACTTTAAGCAGACAGGCAGAGAGTACTTTGGTATCAAATTTAACAAAGATCAGTAACTATCAGCTGTATCTGTATCAAGTATAACTGAGCTAAACTTGATTGTTTAAATGTGGGTGTAAATGCAATCAAAATATGAGTTCAGCAGTTAACAACCTGAAACCACATTTTATGGGCATTTGCTGCTTTTTACTATCATCAGCAAAGATTCTTGAAAAAAAATACTCATTTCCCTATAGATTCAAGCATGAGAAAGCTGAAGCTGTCAAGAAAGAATTCCTTAGCTTATCTGGCATACAGGTGTACAAGTGTCAGCAGCTGATGATGTCTTTAAAGAGGACACACCCACAACCAGGGAATAATCGGCACCTCTGAGCAGTATTGAGAGACCTCAAATTGCAGCAAGCGCAGCACAGCAGAGTCTGATAGATGGGGTTGTTGCCGAAAAGCAAACTGATTTAGCACAAGAGTTTACTTATTTAGGAAGTAACATTCAATATGCTAAGGAGCAGCAGCATCACAGGAAAAATAAGGGTTTTGAAATCTAAAGAATATGCTTAAGGGATTTGAACAGAAGCAATATGGTCGGAATTAAGTTAGTTAAGGTCTTTCAGCACTCGGTTCTAGTTTGGAGCAAATGCAGACATCATTTTTCAAACCTAAACACAGGAAGCACCTCCAGAAGAACTGCAACGTACTCAATTCTTCTGTAGGAAGGGAGAGAACGCACTAAAGTTCACAGATGCACAGCTGTACTTCCAGCACCAGAAGTTGGTGGAGCACAGTCAAAGACTTTATGAAAAAGCCTGGTAACATTTTGGAGGGACAAAGTACGTGTCCTTCGTTCTTACCTGATACAAAGCAACTTGATTCTGGGATGCCAACATTCAGAGTTTAGCCTATAAAAATTAAATCCATTTAAACAAAATGCCAAGAAAATACTGGATCATTAAACTGCATTAGGTGCTGCATGCTGTGGGTAATTTAAGGTTTAAGAAAGTCTGTCAGTATCCCGTCTCGGTCGATAGCTTTGTCTCTTCTCTTCCCTTGAATGTTGGTGAAGATAGAAATTTAAACTTAGGTCATGTAAGATCCTGGAGTGTTTCATTGTTTATATACTAGGGACAACCACCAGAGAAAACCCAGTATGTTACATTTGCTTCTTCCTCATTAATTCTGAAACTCAAGAGTGCTTATGAAATGCAAATTGTATCAGTGACAAAAGCTATTATCGAAGCAGCCTATAAATCAAAAGTAATTGTTCTGCTTTCATTTCCATAGCTTGGAAAGCTGATTTACCTGGAACATAATAGCACTGATTGTAATAAATTGAGTGGGTATTTCTGCACCTGATTTACAGAGATTTTACAACTTTCACAGAAAACTTCATCTAATAAAATGATAAGAATAAAACCCCCTTTTGTTTCAGTATTTTAAGAATTCTACTCTTAGTCGTTCACTAGCCCAGTTCCGAGGGCAAGAGGCAACAAACAAGAGTCTCAGAATACTTGCGGCCTTACAAAATACTTGAACACAAAAACTGCAAAGAAACTAGACAATCAGTAAAACACCAGAAAGGTACGATAACTAACGAGCTGTTCTGCCTTTAATCAAAACTAGTAGGGAAAAAAAATTTCTTTACCAAACTTAACGCAGATCAAGTAACAATCCTGCACTACTTTGTACTGAAACTCCATGCATGTCCCATTTCTCACTAGTGCAGTCTGTTTATACATGTAGAAAAAAAGAAATGCATTTTTTTGAAAGAGAGGAAGTACTGTTAAAAAAAAAACGTTTCCACAGCAATTTCACTAGAGAAGAGGGAGTTGCTCCCAAGAAAAGTTAAGCAATGCCCTTCTGTCTGCCAGACCACTCCAAGTCGTAAGTCTTGTCCGCACGGACTTTATCTGACAGGCGTGGGTTTTAATGCCACTCTGAAGATCCTAATAGGCATTTACGTACAGCTTTTCACATTCCTGATCACAGAGCTGACTTGGTTATGTTACTTTTTAGAGATTTTTTTTAAGTAAAAGATAAGCTTTACCCATTATATCAGATACTATAGACACACTTTAGTGCCTTTTCTTTTGCTTTCGCTGAACACTGTCAAGAATAACAACAATCTGTGCAGCAGCAAGCCAGAAGAGTAAAGAACTTTTAATTTCAATACACTAGGGATTATTCTGCTTTGCAACTGACCATTAAATGGACCTGATATTAAACACGTGTCCCTCAGAATATACCATAAGACAGCTAAAGCTTATCAAAGGGAAAAAGCAAGCAGTGGTAGTTCCTTTCCTCTATGCACACTATAAATTGCTACAGATAACAACTATCCCACTAGTGCAATTCATGCTTTAATCATAGTAGCTTTGAAAAGATGCTGGATAATAACAACAGTATAGGCAGCAATACAAAACAGTGCACCTGCTTTAATTTTAAAGCACTACTGCAAACAAGAACTGGCAAGAAATGTCAAAACAGCCCAAATATCAACATCCACATTTATCAAACATTTTCCTTTTAAGGCTTTTTTTTTTTTGAAAGGGCAATGAAAAACAACAGAGGTAGTGCCTAGTAGACAAATGCAAGATCTACTGCATTGCATTTCATCTATTAAAGACAAATTTGAATACTCTTTCCCAATACAACAAAGTAAAATAGTGCTTTCTAAAATACACGGCTAATGTTAAGACAATGCCAGGCTTTAATACACCATTTATTCTAGATAAGGTCATAAACTGTACAGATTTCTAGTATATGTTGTTTTCATGTAGAACAGAGTACAGTTGACTTACCAGATCCTCAAACTCTTCAGAGGAGATCCACTGAATTAGGCTTCTAATACTTCTGAGGATCTGGGCCTAAGTATCATTTGTTTAATCGTTCCATCTGATGATGGACATCAAATGTTTTGTACATTTTATTTTTTTTAACACCAAATGGGAGTAATACTAGTTTACATTACAGTAAGTCAGCATACATTAGTTATGCTATAGCATTTGTCATTTGTAAAACATGAAAAAACTTCACTGACCATACCAGTTAGCTTCAAAAGCTCAATACAAACGCAATTTTTCAAGTCCCCTGCAAAAGTATGGTCTTGATCTTCAGCCCGTTCTAGCCTAAGTAAAAATCACTGCAGATCAGCACAAGGTTTTAAGACTCACAGTTCTTTTGGGGACGCAACACAAGTTGACCCATTCCAAGTCCAAGCAGGAGCAGAGAACAGTCTTGTACAACTTGTGTGCTCAGGCAGCCCTGTCACTCTACCCACGAGTTAACCAGGCTGCGGCAGGCTCTGAGCTAGGCTTGCTGAACAGAAGCAGAGAGCTGAACGTCAGAGAACCCTGGCAGGCAAACGTCAGTCCAAGCCAGCCGCCAGTCACGAGAGAGAGGGCGAGTCAGTGTCAAACACTTGAAGGATTTAGCCAAGTTTCAGTGAAAGACCAGAAAACAAACCGGAGGTAAATGCAGACAAGGTTAATTAGGTGAGAATAATTACTGAATTTAGAAGACTGCAAACAATTAGCTCTATACTCACAAGGAAAAAAATGCTAGGTTGCAGGATTTTTTGGAAGCGTTTCTCTACTGTCACAAGGTACCAGTACATCTTTTAAATGAAATCTGTGCACAGTTCAAACAGCCTAAGTATCACATTTTAAGAAGTGAAACTTTTACTACATGAAGCCAACTATTTCTGTACTGTTTTATTAATCCAACTTGATGGATTTTATGTTCCTTACCTGTAGAACTACTTACCTCATCATGCATCAAAATAACAAGAGTTGTCTTAATAGATCAACTTCTGATAAGGAAGTTAAGGCAGTGCACAGTAAACAAACTGCACTTTAATGTGTCGCAAAAGTAGTTAATAGCCAGACTACCTCCCCAACCAGATGTCCACTACTACTAGGTTTGGCAAAGATTTCTTTCAAATGGCTTGAGACGAAACAGCTTTTCACCTTCCTCTTTTTTCCTGTCTCTGTGTTTTGTAAAACAAGTACCATATACATTCATGGTTAAATTTTTCACATATAGGCAGTCTGCATAAAGCCCCGTGTCCATCAAAAGCCTTTATGGCTGGTGAATCACACCTGTAAGAGATTATCTGCATTGTAATGTGTATCATGTCTCTCAAATTATATACAAAACCCAGTTCCAGACAGTTCCTTTAGCAACAACCAGAAGAGGTAAAGACAAGAAACGGAGCAGAGTATCAATGTGTCAAACTTTGAGCTAAAGCAAAAAGCAAAAGTTGGGTTTTTTTAATTTGCCAGATATTCTTTTAATGACAAATATAAAAAGACTGAAAACATCTCATTCTGACTGCCTTTTTTTTAAAAACAAATGGTCTGTTTTTATAATTACAAATACTGCGTAAGACAATACCTTCTTTGTACTGCAAAACCAACGAATACAAGGATGCAATCAAGTTTCTAAGCATCTCTAAATTTGAAACGTGGATTTTTTTTTTAAATTCGGAAAATTCTTAATAATTTTTCATTTTTGTTAGAAGATAACTCAAAGTACAACAACATCTAGATCTGTTTTTAAAGGAGCTTTCTTTCCTGATACATCTTTGAACATAAGTACTCCTTTCGAGTTCTGTACATTCACAAAATAGCTCAATTAAGAACAGTATCACCAATGAACTGACTACTGGAAAGAGACAAAATTTACCAAATGTACAGAAATATAAGTTTTACCATAGCAATTATGCATATCAAAAGATGACACCTGTAATTAATTTTTTAAAGATACAAAAAAGAGAAAAACCTGAATTACAGAAAAGAAAGTCATATTTATTTAATGAAAAACTAGAAGTTAATAAAAATTAGCAAATACACAAAAAATATACACAAACAGCAGCAATACTATGTAGTGACTTACAAAGGGGGGGGTGGGGAATAGGGGGGAGGAGGGGAAGCAACGGCCAGAGACCAGACCGCTCAACATGGCTTGTCAGTCAAAGGGGGGAGGAAAAAAAACACAAACAAAAACACGAAACAGTATCCTTTTCAACAGTACAATCAATCTACAAACAAGTTTTTAGAATTATTTTACAACATTTCCTGTAGAATCAATTCTTAATACAAAAGATGCCCATTTTGGGTGTATATATATTTTCAGTGGTTTACTGTTGACTTATTTTAAATATATTAGTGTTAACTACATGCAACTGCTTCCTGTAATTTAACAGCCTTTCCTTTTCTTTGCCTTCATATATGTCTACCCTCCATCTATCAAATAATTTGTCTGACAGTCAAAGATGGTTACCCTAGTTTCTGCTAAATTAAATGCAACGGGTTTTAAACACTGGCCTGAAGAGGTTTGATTGCCATTTCAACACATGGATATAGTTACATTGATGCCTAAATTGCCATTTTCTGCAAAGAGCTGTGCAATGCTGGTGTCAAAGACTAGACAGTCACTATTCATAATGGCTGTTGCAATTCCCTCATGAATAGATCGAGGAGTTGCTTCCCAAGTCAATCGCCGCCTATGACCGTTTAACTCGAGTCGATAAGCAAAGTTTTCTGCTTGCTTGCGTGTTCCTATCAGCTGTACAATTGCAAAGAACTGCTGGTGACCATCATACTTTTCCTGTTTCTCCAATACTAACATGAAATGAAAGCCAAAACAAGACTGCATCATAACCCAGTCAACAGCACCAGGAAGATTAATGTCTGTAGCAAGGAACACTATATCTTCTCCCTGAAGTGTTGTAATTGACTTATGTTGATGCATCAGGTGTGGCATCACAGCATCCAGAGAACCTTGCCATTTACATGAAGCACCGGGACATGGACAGGAGTAAGGCCTAAACTCACACAGCTCCTCATGGTCTGCTTTTTCTGTGTGCGGCAAAGTTATCTCGCATCCGGAAGAGGCATATTTACATGGGAATAGTACAGAATTGGCAACTTTCTCCATAGCCAGGTTACGAATGGAGCCCAGCGGGCCACGGCAGGTTGGGCAGCACGTAAGTTTGGGGCGACAGTTGCTACAAACAAGATGGCCACTCTGACACTGAAGAATTGGTGGCAGCACATAGTCAAAACACACAGGACACTCAAAGAGACTAGCCAAGTCATTATTGGAAGCTGTAGTGCCAGTCAGGGCAGGCACCCGCTGTGACGGCGTACACTTTGAAGTACCTGTAGGTAGTGCTGTAGCAGTCTGACGGCTCATTTCTGTAACAGAAGAGAGAAAAAAGAATGAGTATCTAAACACACTCTATATTCCTCTGCATACGGTATTTCTCGATTTACAAAGCAGCTTCAAAACGAGAGAGATACAAGTGAAAGCAAGAAAAAAAAAGTGCAAAGCCATTGTGCTGTATACAATACAGACACTTGTATGATGTGCAAATTGAACAAGTTAAGAAGTTCTGGTAATTATTCTGAAGTGGAATTTACCTATTGGAAGGTGCAAGGGAGATGACTAAAGACATGCTAAAAATGTAACTGAAATCCTCAAAAAAGTTCGTCGTCGTTGGGTTGGGGTTTTTTAATACCGTATTTACGAAATACTCCACCCAGATCGCTTGTGTGCCACAACTAGGAGCAATAAGGAACAATTCTAAGGCTGAATTTTAAGTTGCTGTGTATTAAGTGTGATGAGAAACTAGCCATTTTTAATGAAAAAATGATCTTTAGATATGACCTTCTCAGTAATCATGTTTACTATATAATTATTTTTTAAATCGAAAAACAGTTGCAAGGGAACACACAGCTAAAAAGATTACTACGCTGCTTGTAAACCACATCCATTGCTTCAGCTTCCTGAACTAAACCACTTGTGAACATACCAGAAAAGAAAAACAAAGCAATTATTTTATTTCCTAAGTAAGACAAGAAATTCAGAAGATTGAATCTATTAATTTTAACACATAAGTACTCAAACATTTCCAGTAACTTGAAAAGGTGCTGCTGATGAAGTTTTGCATTCAGCAGAGTTTACACTGAAGTTCTATTCTTTCAAATGTCCCCAGTCAAAAGCTGACAGCTGTCTGAACAAACAGCTTGCTCAAGCGTTCAACAGATGCAGTAAAAGTACCACATTTCTTAATGTGTTATGGACGCTACAGTTCTTCCTGCACCCCCGAACTCTCTTCCTTCTTGTGCCAAAGGAATTACTAGTACTACCAGAAAAAAAAAAACACACCGTTTTGAAAAAATTAACCTTACCATCGTAGGGTAAGGAAAGTTAAGTAAAATGCTGTCCAAAATTGGCTTTCTGTTACACAGTAAAACTCTCAACCACCTTTAGTGCTTCTCTGCAAGTACACCAGCACTGTATCTGTCACACACGTATAAGGCTTTCAAAACAAACCTCATCTTTCATCTCCTTGCTATTTAACATGGGAGTATGAGGCAATAGGCAAGCTTCCCATATTTAGCACCATTTCACCCACAAACTTACTCATACTCGGACTCGGTACCTCGAAGTGGCCCACTGTGCATGCTTTTGCAAGACATGCTCTCTTCAGGGCACAAAGCGAAGGAACTAAGAGATTCCAACATGCAAAATAACTTATCCCTTGACATGCAAAAAGTAACCCTAGACAGGCAATTTCAACTTCTTCTACAGAAACGCCCCTCCCAATCCAGAGCTAGAAAACATGAGTGTCTAAGATTCAGTATTCAGTCACTGATTTTATGAGTCTCACACGGCACTAACAGCATCATCGCACCCCTCCAAAGTCTCTTCCTTCATCTCAGGCTTGCTGGACTAGAAATACCCAGTTCCCATCTTGGGGGAAAAACAAAACAAACCAAAAAACTAAACAAAACATACAGTGGTTTTCAATGCTAGGCCTTCACTGATCCTGTAGAGATATGACAGGAACGTTTCTATCTGTTGGCCTTATTTTCCTACTGTAAGGCATTCCAGCCTAGATGAAAAGTTTAAGCTATCTGGGGAAGTGATGCCACTGCAGCTTGTTGTGAGAGGATTCAAATGACAAGGCCTCTGTGACCACTGAGCACTGCTGCTATTTTTCCCCAACACCCGTAGGTGGGAGGCTCATGATGGCACACTGCAGTTCTACGCTCTAGAACAAGTTATACACGGAGAATAATGGTATACAGGGAGAAGAAACTCTGATCACACTGTTCGCTGGGAAAAAAACTTAGAAATCACATCCATATTCACGTGTAAAATTCTAAAAGTGTTTCCCTTCAAACGGACACATTTCAGAAAAATTTGTGTGTGCTTCATCTTACCTGATCCTATATGTCCTGATCCAGGGATCTCTGGCAACCCACAGATAACGCTGATGAAAACCACTGCGTTAGACCAGTTCCCTAGGCAGTCTGACGAGCTGGGCGAGCTCTGGTTTCTTTAATTACACCTCCCAAAGCCCATTCAACAGTTAAATTAAGCAACCTAAAACTTTGCAAAAGACCTTATGCACAGATGTACTCCCCACTTAAGCTTTCTAAGCTATGCAAGTACTACAGAAAAGAACCGTACAGCCCTGTTTTATCACCGTTTCTGTATGTGACCTGCCTTCACACCCGCCTTCCACAACGGAGGACCATCCAAATGAGCAGGGAATGAAAATGAGTAGGAATCTGCAAACCAGACCAGAGATTAGCATGCAAGGAAGCAGCCGGAAAAACCTATAAACTGTAATCTACCAAGCCTAAACCTGCCCAAAGCCTACATTTTCATCACTCTTGCTAACACAAAGATGAATAACACAACATGAAAGAAAAAGTCAGAGAAGTTCATTTTTTGCAGCTATCTTAAAAACTACAAATTAATTACAAGTAAAAGTGTAATACATTTAACCCACCAAACTATAAAAAACGTAAAATTACAAACCAAGTAACAACTACAGAAGTTGAAATAAAGATCTTTTTCGTTACAAAAAACTTTACTACGTGTAAAAACCCTTATACGCAATATTTGTTATTATGTTTGTTCGCACAGTGGGAAGACGTCTCTAAGCAACAGTGACAACCTACGGTCCACTAGATGTCATCTTCAAAAGCATTAGTTACTACCACACAAATTATTCAAAAGATTGTACAAATTTGAAAAAGTTTAACCAACAGAAAGAGTGAAAAAGGAAACACGTATCTTAAGAGTTCCTACTTCTAGATCAAGAAAAACTCTGGCGTTGATGACATCAGAACGCACCGACCTGTTGATGAAACTATTCTCAACACCGTTCTGGGGACGGGGAGAAACACACACGCTATCGAGATCGCCCGAGGGACGCGATTTCACGGCTCCGACAGAAACGGCTTAAAACAGGGCGCGGAAGGCAATTTAAAAGTCACCACCTGTCCCCTTGCTGGCTTCGCTCCCCGGCAAGCAGGCACACAGGACGCCCTTCCACGAACGCAGAAAGCTGGAGGCAGACCTCCCCGTCATAGGCAGCCAAGGAGCTCATGGCGCTCCCGCGCA